CGGGAACCCCTTTGGGGCTCTACACGCCCGCATAGTTCGCTTACCGCTTAATCCGCCGTTCAGGTATACACCACATATGAATACCACTATAAAGCAAAAAATGATGTCAGAATTTCTGCACGCCTTTTACAACCTCGATACTGTACTAAGATTTTATTCGGGAGTTACTGTTTTCAATTTAGTAATTTTAAAAAACTCTTCGGACAGATTTATTTTTGTTACAAAATGTTACCTTTACAGATTTATAGCTCTGCACACTGTAGAAAAATCTAGAAATACAGTTTTGTATATCGTAATAATATTAGTAGTTACCAGAGAGCTCTATAAAGTAGAGAAAAATCTGTAAATTTGAAAACTATAAACATAAATTTAAATTTCTCAAAAAATAAATTAAAAAATCTCAAAAGTTGCTACTTTTGGCTGATTTGTCTGAGGTCTCCGCTACCTCACTACGTCCCTCTAAAAGTCGCCACAGTTGGGAACACTGGGAGCAGACATCTAGGGTCTAGGTAAGGCGAAATGTAATCGCCAAACCGCGCTTCAGGAAGGCGGAAAAATTTAAAATTTAAAAATATAGTTTCTTGTGAACAGCAGTTTGGTCCCCCCTTCCAAGTGGGTCCTGTGCGGGTGCACCTGTTGCACCTGCCTAGTTACGGCTCTGGATGGGATATAGAAACGCAACATAAGTGTGATCTGCCAAGATGGGATGCAACTCGGGAAACTGGCACTGGTTTAGATATTAGACACATGAAGAAAACCCGGAAAATTCCACGCAGCCAGCCCATTAGTAAAGTGCGAACATGCGACTTCCGGAAGGGCTGGCCACGTGGAGTTTCTAGGTTTTCTCCGCTTCTGTAACGCCTAAGCAGAGGCCAGTTTCTCTTAAAAGACCTCCCGGAAGGCATTCCCCCTAAGCTGATCGCCCAAGTGTTGCGTTGCCATAACTTAAACAACGACGAAAGGAGAGGACCGCTTTATACCGAATATCCGATTTATCTGAAGCAAATTTATGAATTGGCAAAAATAAATGTCATTAAACATTTATTATTCCAATAAACAAGACCATTTTAAGCATTTGAAATCACTAGCCCAATTTCTTTAGACATATACTGACACAGACAATAGCGAATCCCGAAATCTTTAGAATGGCGTGCAGAAAAGAAATAATATGCCTTACAAAACTTTTTACTACTTGAGATACCAGACTTTATTCGGAAAACACCTCAGAAGAGAGTGAGCTACGCTCTGCGCACCTTAAATCCACTTCTTCATATAGAATAAAAATATTAGTAAAAATCTTATACATTGACAAAGAATGGATGGATAGACGAATTACACTGGAAATCTATAGTTCTGCGATTTGAAAATTGCAATCCAATGAGTAAAGCCCAGCTGTAGCCCTTGGGCATCTCTCTCTCTCTTCGTGTGCCATATCAGGTCATCCTGACGTCGGCGAACACCTGGCGCAGGTTAATTGGAGATTAGTTTTGTGCCAAGATGAATCCTGGGGAAGTTAGTACCAGAGTGGTTCCCCGTTGCCTTCTCTGGTGAGTCGATGTTACGCGAGGGGAGAAATGTCTTCCGGGAGATCTTTTAAGAATAACTGGTCCATGTTTAGGCGTTACAGACGTGGTTAAAACACGGAAAACGCCACGTGGCCAGCCCGTCCGAATGAGGCGCGAATCCACTACCGAACTCCCAGTGTTCAGGAACCGAACCGCTTGGCCACTGGTGGGCATACGCGCGCGTAATATGGGTCTGTCAATAAATAGCTTATCAATGATTTTAAAACTCGTAAGTTATTTAATTTACTATATATATATATATATATATATATATATATAATCTTATATTTGTGTAATAAAATTTTAGTTCATGTCATGCTATCATACTGTTATGTCTACGCAATTCTTTATATTTATTTAAAGAATATTGCATAATTTTGAAATAATTCATATCAGAATTATTGAAATAAGTTATTTATATAATATAATGTTATTTTTAAAAATGAAATTCATTCTTCTATTTTGTTGAGAAAACTGGTCAATAACTATTTCTATAGAATCAGAAAATTTATCTATCTGGTTTCTTTCCTTTAAATCAGCGGCAGCCAACCTTTGACCTCACGGACCACTATCACGAATTTTTTTTAAACGATACAAACATCTATAGAATAATTATCATAAAAGTTCCATTATACTTTATTTAATATGGAATTCAATTGTTTATTCAACTGAATTCCATATTCAAGTAACAAACTTCACACAATTATAACAAATTAGTGTGAAGTTTCTTGTTGCTTGTTTAAAATAAGTTTTATTTTTAACATCGTTTATAAACTTACATAATTAAAATTAGGTGCTAAAACTATATTATCGTTTTTAAGATCCCTTTTCAAATTATCTAGCATTTTTTTAATGTATCAGAACGAAACGGTAGGTTTTATCATTTTTTTGTTTTACATTGAATTCATACTTAAAAAACAATACCATCTCTTATTCTGTTAGGGTAACCGTTTAGTATGTTTTCTTTTCAGTTGTTTCTTGCCATTATTTCATTATAGTTCTGCACGTTTTCCTGATTTCTATAACAAAATTCTTTATATTTAACGGACAATACGATTTATAATGAATTATCTTAATACTATACGGTTTTTCATATTCCTGGAGTCAGGATTCGATTCTGGATCTTCCAGAGCAAAGCCACCTTAACCATCCGTCAATCGAGAACGAGTTATGATATGAGGTTGCTATAGTCTAGACAGTGGATTTTAGGCAAATGCCTAGTTTTTTCCTTGGCATATACATAGCTAAGATTTGTACTAACTACTACAGTGAACATTTCTTCGATAAACTTCTGGCCACTTTAGCAGACAACGCAGTTTGTGTAACTAAAGCCAAGGATATTTTCAATGACATGTTCCGAACGAGTTAGTGTACTGTACATCAAGTGTTATTTCACATTCAAGAGCAGTAATAGTATCTGCAATGAAAGTAGTGGGAAACCTATATATGAACAAATTGATCTCCACAACAGAGCAAACCAGAAACTGTGATGCACCAGGCACTGCTGCAAAAAACGTGAAGAAAGAGTTGAAAGAAGTGCTTTAAAAGAGACTTGGATTAAAGTGCTTGTTCGTTGTGGCTGATATTTTGGCAGGAAAGATGAGCAAAACTGAAAGTAAATTCCCAATTCATCTTTTTCCAAGGTTGAAATACTGTCCGTTATCTTCAGTAGATGTGGAATGCTCTTTCTCTGCATATAAATTAATTCTCACAGTCAGTGACAAACGTTGAAAATTTGGAAAAAGTGCTTGTAATATATTATGAAGCTAACTATGGGAAACACAGTGAATAAAAAATGTAAAGATAATTGTCTGTCTATTTTTGTGTTTGCATCATTCTGAATAAGTGCATTTTTGTTTGGAATACATATGTTAAATAAAAACTTCATTGTCCTGATAAGTACGTTACTTGTGCAAATTTTGACCGCCTTTTGTTTATTTTTTGTTTATAAAGCCTAAACAACGAATTTAAGAGCTTATTTTAAGCGCCTAAAAGGCCACTTTTAAGGGCTAGATGTCCGCTGTCTAGTGATCAGTTTAGTCCAGTGTTTCTCAACCTCTAACGAATCGTCGCCCCTTCAATAAAACCACTATGTAGTATCACCCCAGTCACTTCAAAATTCCAATGCCAAGGGCCAAGGCTAATGCCAAATTCATACTGCATTGAATAGACTAGTGACTAGTATAATGTTATTTGTTTAATTATTGTACGATATAACGAATAAAATATCTAATTATTCTTAATATAATGTTTTACTATATCACCCAGAAAATTGTTTTTCGCCCCCAAAATATAAATTGTTACTAATCGCCCCCTCAACATGGAAAAATGCCCACATGGGGGCAATATTGCCCCCCGTCGAGAAACACTGGTTTAATCTAATCCCTCCCAATGTATTTATATCGTGTAATAAATTGTAGTGCGAATTCGACAATAAAGCGTGTTATTAATATGTTATCTTATTAACCAGGAACAGGAATGAATGTCTCGAAAGATACGATATAGTTTATGGTAACTTTACGATATTGGAAAAATATTTTATATTTGCAAAACAATAAATTAGTAATGAGATTTTCTTATGACGACAGTAATGACATGCTTCCACAGTGGCTGCATAGCCAACTGGAGATTGTTATTGACATATTTTCGAAATTTTCTCGCATATGAAATGCAACCAAGTATTTAACTAAAAATGCTTCATATATGTTCATAGATATCGTAGAAAGAAGAAAGGTGACAAAAACTAAAAATAGAAGAGAACTAACAGAGCTAAGCGTAGATCGTTGGGCAGATTTCGATCCACGCTTAGCTCTGGCCCCTATTCAGGCGTTACAGACGTGGAGAAAACTCCAAACGGACAACCCGTGCAAACCCATGACCAAACTCCCAGTGTTTAGTGAACGGAACCACTTTTCTACTGGTGGGCCCTTGACCGTACTATGCCTAATTGTGCAGATTCCAAAATTCTCTTGATGTTTGTGGGGTGGCATTGAAGTCAGTCTTTAGCCAGTAATAAATAAATTTTTAATAATTAATGTGGATTTATTTCTATTGAGTATTTTAAGCTATTGTTTCTGCATAAATTCTGACTTTCCATTACCACTGGTGAAGTGGCATTGAAGTTGGTAACGTTTGGAGTAAACTCGTTCATTGCCATTGTTTACAATTTTTATAAGCTTTTATGATTAGTGCTTTAAAAATGCGTTCAAAATGTTATAGTAAATCTAATAGTAGAGATAAATGCATGATGTGTCACTCAATTATCATGGAAACTTTCTACAGTACTTTCTAGATTACTTTTCAACTTACCATAAAACCTTGGAAATTTAACCTGTTCATAAGTATTAACTGTATTTTCATATTCAAGAAACTTTGAAAAACTAACGATTAAATTTTGTGTGTGCAAGTCAAAAGAAAAAGTATGACACTGATCACATTGTAAATGACACTATTTCATAAGCATTCCAAAGTAGTTATTTATTCTGTCATTTCAGTAAAAATAATAGATAAACAATTTTAGAATGGAATTGAAAAAGGATAATGAGGATGATCTTTTGACCTGAAAGGTAAAAATATCAATTTAAAGTTTAACAAATTAAAAAGTTATTACAGAAAATTAAAAATAATTTACCATGCCAAATGACAGACTCTGTAATCACGATTGAATCCACCAATAGTTTCCATTTCTTCTGGTGTAAGTTCAAAATCGAACAGCTAGAGATAAATAATGTATACTTTAAATTCTATCACAATCTTTCTGTTAATAGTTATTAACAAACCTGAATATTAGAAATTATCCTTTCTTTGGTAACACTTTTAGGAATAACAATAACACCTCTTTGGACCTGAAAACGCAATAACACCTGCAAAGAAATGATGATATTTTAAAATTTGAAACTTCATTGAAAGAATGTATAGTAGTAAAATTAATTCTACCTGAGCAGAACTCTTATTATATTTTTTTGCAATTTCTTTAATTTTAGGTTCTTCTAATAATTGAGGATCATCTGGTTTAGCCCTAAGATTTAAAAACAAAAATCTTTTTTTAGAGTATTTCACGGATTATACATTTAGCAATTACAAAATTATAACTCAAAACAAAGATCTATATAATAAATGGTTTTCAAGTATTTTCAGATATTCTCTCTCTAATATGCTGACTGATAGATTCTAAAACTGAATATTTTAAAGGATTATTTTTATATACCTAGCAAAATAAAAATAAATTGAATTTTTTTTCTGTAAACTAGTGAATTTATTACTTTATAATCTTTTTGAATGTTAACAACTATTGTAAAATTTGTCCAAGAGGGGGCAGATCAGACTTTGAAGTTATGACCAACCAAGAAAACAATTGTATGAAAAATACTATGTGCATAGGGATTAATAAGCAATACTGTGAAGTCAATGGATTTAATAAATACAAAAAGGGAGGTTACTAAATGAATGCAACACAATTAAACAAAGTATTAATATTCAGTAATCTATGGTATAAGGAAATCAACAGTATGACAATAGTAATAAAACCACTCCTACATATTCTTTCATCTATTCATGATAGAAAACATCTCAAAGAATGCATTTAAAATAATAGATTTTGTTTATTTTTTATTACAGGTTGTATTGATTGAGAAATGAAAATAATCAACATCTAAGATTAATTCAAATTGTAATATATATTAAAATTAGGGAAATCCAAATTTAATAAATCACATTAACTACATCTGTTAACTACATTAGCATACTATATTTTGTTTTTTGAAATATATACATACATACATACTCACACATATATATCAAATAGAACAAAATTTTTATTTCTGAAACATATTTTTAAATTCTATCAATTTAATCTATAAATTTTATTACATGTAATATAATAAATAAATGAGACATTTTTTATACTGGTGATATTGACAGTCACTGGAATGGTATTTTTTAGGTAAAACGATTTCACTTTTTTTCTGGTGTAGTGTAAAAACAGAAAAAACATTTCAAAATATTAAAAAAAAAACAGTATCTAAATTCAAAATTACTCTAAAAAACATTAATTTCATAATATAAACAAAAAAAATGATAGTCATTGAAAATTTTATTTTAAATAATTAAAATGTCAATATTACATGAGTAATTAAAAACAAAATTATGCAATCAGATAGATGTAGGTTTAAAAAAAATTAATAAAATTATTGTGACATCACAATGCTGGGCCTCAATTTTTAATCATTTTCAATTTATTTAATTTAAAATATATGCTCTTGATTTTAGTACTGTCTTTCCCCTGTACATCATATTTTTCCTGATAACAATAGTTGTCTAACTCCATTCTGGAGAAAATTTTTTAATTGAAATAGCATGATTTTTAGTCCAGACTAAAAGTTCTTATATAGTTAATTAGGGTCTCTGGCTCCTAAGCTTCCCATATCTGGTCTCAACTTTTATCTATCTAATGCTGTTAGAAATTAATGAAGGACAGACAGGCACCAGTGAGAATTTATAGATCTGCAATTTGAAAATTGCAGCCCAATGAACTATCATCATCACAAATACATTGCACTTTTAATTTTTGTGAACTATCTCTACAGAAATAGTAGGAACTGCATGCCTATGAAATGTTCTAATAAAAATATAAATACATCTTCCACATCTTTCTAGAGAAAAATATATATTTTTAAAATAATTGTTAGATTAAATTAATTAATTAATAAATATAAAAATGCATACATTTCAATTATTAAGAATCCCACAAACAACTGTTTAAAAGTTCATTTAAAAGAATTTGAATATATTGAATAAATAAAATTGTCAGTGTCAACATTTTTCATATTAATTTGAATAAACTAAGATTCATTTTTATGTTATCTTGCAAAAAATAAATAAATTGCATTAATAATTTTGTATATTGCTAAATAAACTATAAAAATACTACAATATAAAAAGTGTTATGACTAAAATCAAACAATATCTAAAAGAATATTCAGAATAAATATAAACTTATATTATTTGTTATTCAATAAACAAAATAGAATAATAAAATATTACAGAATATTAGTAGTAATTATTATTATTATTTTTACAAAAAAGGATGTATAATTTGAAATATTTAAAAAGAAATAAACAAAACCTTACAAGACAAATATTTAATTGCTTCATTACATTTCAATTTATTTTAGTGAAATGTAATGAAAGTAATTAAATAAGAAATGCTTATTCAACAAAATTTGAAGGCAAAGTTATAACAAAGAAAAATATGAAATTTTACCAGGGACGATCTGGTGATCCTAAAGGACTGTAAGCTGTAACTTTTATGTCTAAACTTTTACAGAATTCCAATAACGGACATTGAGTTAGATATGGATGACATTCCACCTATAACATCATCAATATTCAGTGCACTATTTTTTTTTCTCATTCAATGCAAACAAAATTGATATTACCTGAAGCATTACTGGTTTTATTGTAGCATTAGAACAAATTCGTTTAATTTGAACACTGTTAAAATTAGAAAGGCCAATGGATCGAACTAGACCTTTCTTATGACATTCTTCCATTGCCTATAAAATGAAATTTAATAAACTATCAAAAAGCTATACAAATTTTTATTAGATATGTTTAGAATAATATAGAATGACTTTCAATATTAAAAAATATTATTATTATTAAACTAATTGAAAATATCATGTTTACTTGAATGTAAGACGGCTTTGAATCTAAGAGACAACTTAATTTCTACATGCTCACCCACAGTTTTGAAAAAAAAAAAAAAAAAAAAAAAGGATAATTTGAGAAATATTTATTGCACAGTGAAATAAATTATATTATATCAATGTTTTCCATGGTATCAAAGTTGGAAACAACTTTGCTTTCTATATTCTGGGCATCGAATCCAGCTAATGCTCATATTTCCACACACAATCATCCTCAATACCATTTAAATCATCAAAAATGTAACATTTCTTGAAAATACTGCACAACTTTTGGGATTTTCATCCAAATAATTATGATATTACTATAATAGACTAACAAGATTAAGCTAAGTTGATCTCTTAAATATTTGTTATTACAGATATTAGTGTAATAAAATTGTTAAAATGATACACTGAAATTAGTGATCTCTATTGACAGAAATAAGATGCATAGCACATAGAGGTTGCTAATTATGATGCTACATTGAATCTAAGATGCCATCAAATCTACAAGCTACCCTTTTTCCAGATATTTCCCTGAAAAAAGTCCATCTTACATTTGAGTAAATACAGTAAACTAATATAAAAGTATCTAAAAATTATAATCATACCTTCCAAGTTTCTAAGTAGTCAACATCACTGTATAGAAATTTGCCAGTTTCATCTTTTGGAAACAATTCACCACCTTCCTTTAATAAAAAATAAAATAATGAATCTTCTTTTTAAATTTTCATATATGTTTTATAACATTTAAAGCAATCCTTATATTAAGATAAAATGAATTACAGTGGGTGATCGGTTAACGAACAGATCAGACAACGATCAAATCGGATAACGAACACTTTCGCGAAAGATTTTTATGTTCGGACAACAAACACATGATCGGATAACGAACATCCCACAGAACAAACAAGTAGAAGCGACGTAAAATAACAAATACCAACTGGACTTTCCTTGTCTTTGGGCAACAATTCGAAACTTTTCGGAGTGTGGGAGACGTCGACATCGATGCTCAAGCCGGTATATACCATTCGGATAGTATTCCTCCGAACTTTAAAACTCTCCCTTATAATTCCAGCCTATTANTTTATTCTATTAGTAAAAAAAAAAATTAATTTCTATGGCAAGTTCGCACATTTCCTAGAATTTTAGGTTTTAACGAAAGTATCCTTCACCATTAAACTGTCATTAACGTTTGATAATGATTATTTTATCCTAGTTCAAATATTTCTTAAGTCTCGTGATTAATAATTTTGAACCAGATAAGAAAACAAGTATCTTCACCTACGCCCATTTTACCAACAACCTGTTTCATTGTTTTTTTTTCCATAAAAGGTAAATAATAAAAATTATAACAAAATTGTTTATAATATAAATAACGACTTGGCAAAGTCGCCGGTTAAATAATTTAAGCCGTAGAGTCGGTTACGGAAGAAACCAGCGAATATTTAATGGTAAGATCTCACTCACCATTCCCGATTGAGTCGGTGCCATGTTGCTTGTTCGAAAAGGTCAACGTACGTAACGCCACCTACCACACGAAAATGTTTATGCAATAAAAATTAAATAATTACATAACGTATCTTATATCGAACACGGTGGCAGTTACTTAACTTAAAAAATTTTTTAAAACAATAAAATTAATGTCATTGTTATCCACGTTATGTCAGTCACGTAGCCAGGGTAAACGAAAAACGATACGTCTAAATAAACAATGGCCGTACTGTGTTTCGATGTCGATGAACTATTCAAAAAAGATCAAAATGTATTTTATGCATCTTATAAACATTGTTATATAACACCATATTTTTGATATCGTACTATAATTATTACATGGATACACTCACGTAATTTTTGTTTTCCATATACAGGATTTTAAATTTTAATAATACATACAGTAGAGCAATGACTGATACTTTTAATTTTGCTCAGCGTATTTTGTTACTTTGACTTTTTTCTTATATTAGCGAGGTTGCGGTCGAAGTTTTCATCTCTAAAACGTGAACGTCGAACGTCGAGCGCCGCTTACAAGATAGCGGCGCTCGACGTTCGACGTTCACGTTTTAGAGATGAAAACTTCGACCGCAACCTCGCTAATAACTGGAAATGGTTACAAAATCCCGATAGACTGGTACGACCAAAAACTGAAATTATACAAATAATTTATCCACCACTAGCGATTATTAATAATTCCGGTATTTTTATAATACTTGATATGCTCACTGTTTAATGTTATACTTAATCAAACTAACCGGGTAAAGTAGGCCTACTAGTAGTATCTTTTATAAGATATCTCTTTGTTTTCTCGTTGTCGAATTTTCCTACAAAAATATAATTTCAATAAATTTATTAGTTCAATATTGTTTTCACTTCATTGTCAGGTACTGTACCTCTGAAGGAATGGTACAAATTGTAATGTATTAATAACATAAAAAAAATTTAATAACGTATCCGATTTTCTGAATAAATTTGCATTTGTAATGCCGTGAAACACCGTAGGTAAGTAATATTTTGAATAAAACAATAATTTTGCGCAAAATAAATAGCTGCAACATAGCCTTAAAGCTGTGTTGCAGCTACTGGTTCATTTACTGTAAGACTAATATTTTGAAAAATCATATTAATAATAAAGGATACGGATCTTTTTGCAAGAGATTAATTTAATGAAAAAACTATTGTTATAGATTACTAAGTTTTTGCGTCTTCACTGTTAAAATGAGGTAATAGCGATAGTATATTGCTATATTGTATAAAGATGCGATAGTTACTCATAATTCGTGTCTCGTGATTCCAGCTTTTTGAAAGAATTTCGAAATAACCAGAATCCTTTCTGTGGAAGAAATTCATATTTTTCTTCCTAGTCACTATTTTTGAAATCCAGTTGTAAGATGTCGAAAATAATACAAAAAATAAAGAACTGGATTTAAAACCTTAATTTTAAAAATATATATATTATTATGAAATATGTTATTTATGCTATATTTAATTTTATTCTTTTCTTTTTTTTTTTCTTCTTTCCGCTCTACAGACACTATTTTTTAATCATGCTTTTTGTGGGTTTGTCCAGGCTCGCAATTTCAGCGGCTCTATGGTGACAGACAAGCCCGATATATCAGGCACAGTTGCTAGCCAGTTCCAGTTGGAACCAAGAAAGAATGGAATGATGGGATCAGAACCGTAACTAGTCATTCCTGTGCCCTGTGCAAGAATTTGCATTTAGGCCCCTTAATTTATTTGGTTTTGGGAAAATAAAAAAACAAATACATTACAATAGATTTTTAATAAGATTTATTTTAATTGAATTTTTCTGGCTTTCATTTCAGTAAATTCATTAATTACACCTTCATAATTAATATTTTTGACAATGTTGCATTCTATTGAAATAATATAAATATTGGATAATCGTTCTTGTCCGATAGTTGATGTTAAATAATTTTTTATTAAGTTTAACTTGCTAAAACTTCTCTCGCACGAAGCAATAGAAACGGGAAGAGTTAGAAATATTCGAAGAGCGACATTGATATTTGGGTAAGACTCAATTAAACCAAAATCATAAAGAGCCTGTAGAATATTAAGCGGAGATACAGTTTCTATATTTTGTATGAGAGTCGTTACTGTAAAACTAAAACTTTCAATTTCACTTGTGAATTCGTACTTTTTTAAATCTTTGCTATATTTAATAGCGAGATCCGCAGCC